CCAGAGTTGTGTCCTCCGTCACGGCCGACATGTACCGCAACTTCTGTGTTGCCACGGCCAAGCAGATGGGGGTTCCACGTGCTGCTGCTGCCGTACCACCTGGACATCTCCCTGCTGCTGCTCCCGCTGCGAAAGGCGCTGGGCGTGCTGCCGCCTCTGACGCCCGCTCGCAGCAGCCTCTTTGACGACCTGTTGCCTTCGGCCCAGCGAGCCGAAGGCCCACGCTCGCTAGCGCCTTGCCAGTCGCCAGATGCGAGCACTCAGGTATTTTTTAAGTTTGTGAACATCACACAGTGGTCGAAGCTGACTCAGGACTTCTTGGCAACTAAGGTCGCTGAGGTGGATGGAGTGTTCATGGCGGAACATCACCTTGAAGGGTCGAACCTGTTCCGTGCCAAGAAGACCTGTCGACAGATGAAGTGGAATCCTCATTTCCAGAGTGCTTTACCGTCCCCAGGTGGAGGCACTCACGGAGGAGTTGGGGCTGCTGTACAGCCCAGATTGTGTATACGGAAGTTCCTGAATCAAGCTAAGGGTGCAGTCCAAGTTGGAGCAGGTAATTGTTGGTTCTTCCTTGAGATGCGTCTGAAGTCATGCACGGTTGCAGTAGGTGTGATCTACCTCATTCCTTCCATTGGAGTCTCTGGTGAGAATTCTTCTCGGCTTCGTGCGGTTGCTGAGTTTGTTCGTGGGCTGTCTATTCCGTGGTTCCTGATGTGGGACTACAATATGTCTGCTGATTTCCTGGAAGATTCGGGTATCTTGGAGCTCATGAACGCTAGGGCCCTGGTTCCCAAAAATGTTGAGTTCACGTGTTCGATTGGTGAGACTTTGATTGACTATGTTGTCTGTTCGAATCGGTTGTCTGGATATCTGCGAGTCTCCGCCGACCTCCTGTCCCCGTTCAAGACCCATGCGTGCCTGGACGTGTTGTTGGACCTTGAGGCTATGGTGGAACCGTCTGTCTCCGTGTGAAGCCCCTGGAGATCCCTGAAGCCTATGGACCTGATAACCATTGGTTGAGTTACATGGCTGCCGCCGCTCCCAGTTTCCTCGAGGCCCCCTTGGTGATGCCCGGTGACCTCCACAACGCGATGCCCGCTCATACTTTGGAAGGTTTGTCTCGAAGTCTTGGGATACAGTACTCTACCTGGTCTAGAGCGATGGAGCTCCGTGATCTGTCTCGTGCATGTGCCATTGTCACTGACACGCACCGTTACATAGGCAGGGGTTGTATGCTGAAGCGTAAGGACTCGTCCCCGATGACTCGCAACGTGCAGGCGCAGAGTTTCAAGAACCCTGACTTGTCCTATTGGTCTCTTGTTTCTAGTCGCCTGTATGAGTTGATGAAGTTGACTCGAAAGGCTCCGTATTCTCAGGCCGCGATGCAGCACAGGCGCGTCTTGGCT